CAAATCACCATCAACTCAAAATTTGACATGGCTCTCACACTGATAGTTAAGATAGGCCTGACCCACTAATAGTCCTGTTCTGCAAAAGAGAGGTTAAAGTTTTACTAAGTCACAAGGTTGATCCTTACTAGGATACATGATTTGACATTTTAACCCATAATAGTACTATTAGCAGAAAATTACTAAACTGCAAATTCAACTTGATTCAAATATAGCTCATTTTGTGTCATTCCTCTCATGGACAATGTGAAGTGGGCAGAACTCAATACGGATGGATCAATCTTATTGCAATTGCTTTTTATAAAGTTATTTCGCTCCCCAAAGCGGTTTCACATTCCAAGGAAGGAAGACTGATGTGACTTTCAGAATTTTAGGGGAAGAGAAGGACTAGTCAAAAAACAAACTTAATTTTATTATGTAAAAACTTTTAACTTTTATAAAAAGTTTATAAAGCAAGTACAATGCATGATCGCAGAAATTCACCTTCCTGCAAAAAAGGTACAAACATTATACTCTATTATAGAGTTCAACAATAAACATGGGGCCACAGCCCCAGAACAACTCATTTTTGAAATTCTTGTTGGTATTACCCCCTACCCAGCCCCCGTAAGGATTTTTTTTTTTTTTAAAATCACACTATAATCCAAAATATACATACAACTGCATCTCTGCAAGTCTTTTTAAAGCATGTTGTGGTCTCATTTATAGCCAGCCATGTTTTAAAAGATATCTATCTAAAGACTGGGAAGCCAGTCTAGCACACTTGGGATTTTGCGAACACAAAACACTGATCTTACAGTGCAGATGATGCTCAAGGAGTCAGGACTTCCCAGCTTTTCTTGCCCTTGTGCAATGAGGCGGTTAAATTCAAATATTCAAGAGTTCAGATCCATTTCTGAATGGGGGATGGAGGGAGCAGAATCAAAAGTCTTTCCTGGCCTGTTGAGATTTATTTTCAGGCAAGAAGCAGAAACAGTACTAAAAAACCAGCCAAGCATCCAATGCCTTGTGCCACATGCTCCAGAGACACAATATCTGGAAGATAAAGGCTGAGGTCCCTCCATTATTGGATTCATGGGGTTGAAGTCTGATCCTTTCCAAGTCAAGGTCTCTCTTCACCTCCCTTGGAGAGAGCCAAGTGTTGTGATCCCACACCTGCAGTCTGAATAGGGGTAGAGGGGAGGGGGCGGGGGATGTGAGAGAAAGACATGTCAGTTATTCAGAGCAGATCACAGGCAGGTCTGCACTAGACATCCTGGCGCCAGAGAGAGGAAACTTCTATTTACCTCCAGCTGATAAGGAATCAGGAACCAACACTCAGGCTGGAGGTTTGCTAATTGGCACCAAAAGGAAAAAAGAGACAAGCCCTTCTGTTCCTAACTCTCTACAGATGGATCTAAAATTACACAGATTAGAAGGGAGGGACACATGCTTGGCTGTGCCTTCCTGCCTGAAAACATCCCCCCCCTTCAAAAAAAAAAAAAAAGCCTCTTGATTCTACCCATTTCAACAGGGCCGTTGAAGCAGCTGCAGAGTTCGCTGTAAAAAGAAGGACATTGTAACAAGAATGACCCCATTTGCAGGAGCTGGGAAGAGGCTGGACTGGGGACAATGGCTACAGATCTCATTCCACTACAGTTGCTGCTTAAAAAAAAAAAACACAACCTCAATCAACCGCAAGGGAAGAGACGCGAGAGATGCCCAGCGCCAAGCAGCGTGGCTTGCACGAAGGGGGGCGATTTAAAATCATCCCTCCCTGGTTAGCGTCAAGCCACTCACGCGAATTCCCGGGGACGGAGAAGTGGGCTGGGGATGGAAACTGACAAGGAAGCGCGTGGTCCAAGTCTTACCTGGCGGGGGGAGAAGAGACATTAATGGCACAAGCGTCTCTCATCTTTCGAGCACAGTTCAGAGGCGAGTTCAGAGGCCTGCAGAGAGGAGAAGGGAAGTAAGCAAGGGGGGGACCTGGTGTGTATGTGTGTGGGGGGGGATTTTTCTTCCCTGGGGAAAAAGGGCAGCAGCCTCGCAGGCTGATTCCTGCCTGCACAGGGCACTAGCCGGCTGGGGGAAAGGTGCCCCCGATGTAGCGCCAATGTTACCATGAAGAGTCACCAGCCGGGGCCCCGTCCTTACCTTGAGGGAGAGGAGGGAGGTCTCGGCGGACGGGTCCTGGCCCTGGCCCTTCGCCTGCTCCTCCAGCACGATCTGCAGGTCGAGGATGTAGTCGATGACGTGCTGCAGGATCTCCACCTGGCTCAGCTTGGTGCCCTGGGGGATGCCCGGCACCAGCTCGCGCAGCTTGGAGTAGCAATCGTTCATGTCGTAGAGCAGGCTCATAGGCTCCTCCAGCGCCGGGCTCTTGCTGGGGCTGCCCCGGGCGATGGCCAGGCTCTGGTCCGACAGGCAGCACACGGCTTCGTAGCAGCTCCTGACGGACCGCACCGGGCTGATGGCTTTCATGGTCACCGGGCTGGGCTGGCGGACGCCTGGCAGCGCTGGGCTGGTGTCTCGGGAAGGCGGATCCTCCCCTCCACCCCCGGCTGGCTGCTTGCACGTCTCTCCCGCGGTGCAATCCCGGCGCTCAAACCCCGACTCCTCCGTGCAACGGGCTGCCGGCGCCTCGCCCCCCTCCGGCCTTTTATACGCCGGGCGCTCCGCTCCGGCTCCGCCCCTTTCTATGCAAACGAGCCGCGCCGCTGTCCCCCCCCTTCTGCCTCTCTGGTGGCAGCCGGGGGAAATGTTGCATTGAGCGCTTACAAGCTGGTTGCATGGCGAAGCCGGCTTCCCCTGGCTTCGCCTGACACCAAAGAGCCCAGGGCAGGAAAGGAATGAGGAAGCTCTGATTGCAAACGGGCGGGCCTAGCTATCAACCCCCCCCCCCCCACACACACACACACCCCTCTTTGCTTTTTAAAGCTCAAAATTCCAAGTCGAGCTCTTCTCCCCTGCCGCGTTTGTCTCTCCCGGCCCCTTTACAAAAAAAAGAAGAAGCCCTGGCTGGAAAAGACAAACCCGGCGCCTTGCAAAGTCCAGCCCCAGGGTGCAGCCCCTCAAACTTCAGCACCCACCGAAGCCGTGAAGCCCCTCGCGGCAGGGACTTTTTTCCCCGGGGGTGGTTTGTTTTTTTCCCAGGGGGCTCTAGTAAGGAATTAGTGGTGCCTTGTTCCTCACTTTGCTGCTCATATGACCTCCAGACTTTCTGCCGTCAGGAATGATCTTGTGACCAGAAAAATAAAAAAGCTTTGCGGTAAAGCTGAGGTTACCGTGGAGAAACCAGATTTGGGTCAGCAACTCTTTGACTGCAGAAACATTGTGTTGTGGGGGGGATCTATATAAGTAGGGGTTTATTTTATTTTGAAACAACAGGAACAGGGTAAAAAAACTCAATTGACATGGTTGTATCGGTTTAACTAAAAGGACAAAACTTTATGGGTGGGTCCAACTTTTGGGGTGCAGACAAGACCCAGTTCGCTTGGGGCCTTATCCCACTCACATTTGGGTGTAAATCCAGAGTAACTGTGAGAGTCGAATGAGGCCCTAAAAAACAGTTTTGGTGGAAGGTGGGGCGGAGGCTGAGGAGAGGGTATAAAAAGTTCTCTTTATATTTTAACTTGATTTTAAAAATCAATCTCAAATGGGCTGTGTGATATAATTTATTGATCCCAAGCCTGGAGATTTTTCCAAGGGCCAGCTTTTTATTTTGGAATGTGTTTTGATTATTTGTGAGTGGGCAACTGCTATGGAAATACTGCTTTATGGCCCATGACAATGGGGTATGCCATTTAATTTTCCCCCTAGCCCATTACTGGTTTCCCAAATCTCTTGCTTGCTATTTCTGTTAATACAATTTCTTAAACTGTATTATTTCAGGGGCTGTGGGGGAGGCCAGGGCACCTGGAGTAAATTATGCCTGCCCACAAGTACAATTTACTCCAGATCTGCCTAAACCCTAGGTTGTGTGTGTGTGTTTTTCCAACAAAACAAAACATACTGTTGTTGTTTTTTTTTTTGGCTTTTCTCTCTTCTGCTTTCACATTTAGCTAAGTTTGGAAAAAATCACTTCCCCAACCCCCTTGGGTATACAACTCTAACCATGGTCAATTTCCATGTTTTTAAGCAGTCTGCATGTCACAATGGATTTTTTTAAATATATATTTATTTGGGGCCGGGGGTTGTTTAGTGTAATGGAAAAGCTAGTTAAATTATTCATTCCTTCAAGACCTTAGATTGCACATTACTAAATCTTTATAAAAAGTAGTTATTTTTTGGTAACCCCACTATTTTCTCCTCCTCCCTCACCCTCCTGTAGTCCTCTGACCCTGCCAATCCTCACTCCTATTTAGGGAGACTCCCTAATTTTGGATTCATTTTAAGGCCTTTAAAAAAAACCCCTCTCTCCCTGAGGAAATAAATTGTGATGAGATATTTTCAACCCTCGCTCCAAGTTTGTTGGGAAACCTCCTTCATTCAAATGGTGGCAGCTGGCGAATAAACCTGAACTTGATGGGGCAGGGGGGTTTCGTTTGTTTTTGAAGAAAAATAATAAATCTTTAACCTGTTTTTCAGAATCTGGGGTATTGGCCTGGACTGTCCAAAGACTTTTTTTTTCCAATTTTTTTTTTTATGTTAAGTTCTGAAATTTTCTTAACACTCATACAAGTCACCATCAGCCCTAGGGCCTCCCAGAGTATGTTTCCCAGCCCTGCGCCCCAGCCCTGAGCATTTTTTTTTCATTCACACCCCCCCCCAAAACACATTCCATCTTTAACCCCATTTTTGCCTCGTTCCAGGAACTGAGCGATCGCACTGGAATATCCCCAAGGCTGATTTTTCAAATAACTTTTTTTTTTTTTTTTTGGTGGCAAAGATTCTCTGTGTGCAACATGTTTGGCTGTTTGGACAGGCAGCCCCGGAGCATCCCTGAACTTTCTGTTCCCACTCTTGCTCCCTACCCTCCCTCCAAACCCCCCCCCCCCCCCGCGTCCTCCTTGCATTTTTTATTTTTATGAAAGGATGTCATTAAGGCTTTTGTTTGAACTGTTTTTGTTTAAGAACTTTTCTCACAATCCTATTTTTTGTTGAGGAATCTGCTCCCTTTGCCCAGCTGTGTCCCTCTCCCTCCAGCTGTGTTGATCTAACTCTCCGCTCCAGACAGCCTGGCGCCAGCCTTGCGAACGTCATGCATTCACACAGGGATGCGTGGCCAAGGCAACCTTTCCGCCGCCATAGCCACCGAACTGGAACCTCGCAGCCCAGCCAATGAGAGGCCGGGGAGGTGCTTTAACGCTCGAAGGGGCGTGGCCTCGCTGGGGGAATAGAACCTTGAGTGCAAAATTAGCTTAGATTCTGGGAACGTGCAAACATTTCTGCATGAGGCTGTTGCTCCCCCCCCTTTTTTTTAAACTACAATTTGGTGGGGCTGGATCATTTCTGGCCTTTTTCTGGGAACTGATTCCCATTGCAAGCCAAGAATCAGAATATTATTATCACTTACAGTTTAGGCCAGTGGGGGAGTCATAAAGTCCGTTTTTTTGGCTCAAAGCAGTATTCACTCCGCCCGCCACCCCCAAAAGCTCTGGAGTGCAGTGATTTCATGTTGGGAATGGCCCACACTGTGTGTGTTTTATTAACAAAAATTGGTTGTTTTAGAACTGCGCTGGGCCCTGAGAGCGAACTTTTCAGAACAAGTCCCATAAAGCTCACAACACGGACTGGTGTTCGCCTCCTAGGCTCTTTGATTCACCTGGATTCATTTGTAAAGGGGGAAAGTCAGCAAACAGCCATCATCCCCTCCCAGACTCTCTCTTCTCCAGCTCGAAATGTTCACTAACTTCTCAGCCAGGCAATGTACCCCATCCTCAACCCTTCCCTGAAGTCCCTTTTACCGGTTATTTGTTGCTACATCTATTGTAATTTGCATCAGTTCTGCAACACTGAGGATTTTTCCAAGGCTTCTCTCTAGGAATTTCTTAAATCAATTGCCACCGAATGCGCCCCTGAGAAGTTCTGTTAAGATCAAACCTTTAAAAACAGAACAAAAAAACAGAGGTGGCAGGATACGAAATAGAGTAAGACTTCTGGCTCCCAGAATGTGGTATTTTGGGGTGGGAGAATGGAAGTGAGGATAGGACTGATGATTGGAAGACTGGGATGGGAGTTGCATTTAGTTTATCATACCAACCTAACCTCAAGCTGTTGGACAGGGACTCGGGCTTTGGGGGATTTTCTCAGGGCTCCGGCATCTTCAGGATTCCTGGCAACGCTGCATCCATGAAAGTGATTGAGAACAGAAGAGAGGAGGAGGAACAGAATATATGCCCAAGGAAATTACAAAGAAGACAGTTCTTCCACAGTGGTCATCTGGATTCACTTTCTGGACAAGGGCTGGATCAAATCTTGTCCCAAATCTTTTGGGACCTTCACTTCTGTCCCCTTATTCACAATCAAAACAAGAGCTAGGAAAAAAAACAGCTGGCCAGGCAAACTCACTTGAGCTCTGATTCAGGAAGGCATTTAAGCACATGCTTACCTTCACGTTTGTGCTTATGTCCAATTTACTTTTTGTTTCTAATTGTCTGTGCTTGTGGGTCTGGGACAAATTTATTAAAATCAATGGATAATTTTAAAGCCAGAGGAAAAATTAGAGCAGCTGGTTAAGAAATAAGCAGTGATTTCTTAAATATGTTGTGGAATTCTCTTGTCAATGGGACCCCCTTCCCATCTGACCCTAGGCAAAACAACTGGCATGCAATATGTTGGGTGGGTGGGGAAGAAAGGAGGAACAACATGTGGAGCTAGACGCACATGCCACACTGGTAGGTTTGGCTGCATCTTCACAAGCAACATTTGGTAATTATGCCCACATGTTAAGGTCCCAATTCAGCAAAGCATTTATGCACGTGCTTAAGCCCATCCCTATTCAGCATAGCAGTAAGCACATGGCCTGTTGAAATCAATAGGATTGAAGCACATGCCTAAATGCCCATGGTCAGAGAGCAAATTAGTAGCCAAGCAGGGCATGGAGCCCAGGTGGTCTGACACCCAGCCCTGTGCTGTTACCAGACAATGCTACCCCTGTAAATAAGTCGTTTGACATCACTTAGGATATCTGGCAGGACAGCCTACTCCTTCCTCTAACTATAGGGCAACACGAAGAAACTATCAATTAAAAAGTCTCCGTTAGGCCTGTTGACTATTTTCAACTACTGTGTTTTTTAACCAAAATTGTTCTCAGATTCTTTAGAATCTTTCAGCCCAACTGAAGGAGCTTAAATTCCAGGCTTCTCAACCAGTTTCTCCAAAAACATGACCAACTCCAGCAGGCTGGTGCTGCATGGGTGCTTCCCCCACAATGCTCATCTTACTGGCAGATCAGTCTGTGGGAACTTTTCCCATTGTTGGATCAAGCCTTAAGAGAAGCATCTCTTTTGCTTTTTTTGCCAAGGGGGACTTAGTTCATATTTAGACCCGGTTGCTTCTTGCGGCCTTTATTTGGAGAACCAGATTGAAGGAGTAAGCCTGGAGCAGCACTTGGGGAGTGATTATTCTTCACTCGCTGGCTAATGATTTGTATGGGATATCTCCAAGTCCACCCAGACCAGGCTCCATGTGGTGTGATTGCTGCTGCAATAACCAGCCTTGTGGATACAGGGCTCAAAAGAATGGATTTCTCTCTCAGCTGCCTGGGTGTAAATCTGGAGTAACCCCACACTGTGTAACTAACAGCAGGACGGTGTACAATGCAGCTGGTGCAGCATTAGGCAGCTTCATAGATATAGCTCAGTAGTGTTTCCAGAGTAAGCCAGACACCTCCCTTCATCTTCTCTACCCATTATTTTAAATGATTAAATCATGGGAGGGAGATGGAGCAAAGTCACAGCAGACTTTATTAAAGATGGAGGGAGCGGGACTAGATGACCTCTCGAGGTCCCTTCCAGCCCTGCATTGCTAGGATAGCATAGGCAGCTACCAGGTTAGATTGTAAGCTGTTTCGGGCAGGGACCATCTTTTTGGTCTGTGTTTGTACAGCACCTAGCGCACTGGGGCCCTGGTCCAGGGTGCAGGCTCCGAGGCTCTGCTGTAGCACAAATAATAACAATAGTGATGGTTCCACTCCCAGGAACAAGTGGCAGGTGACCATCAAAGGGTTTTGAGTCTGGATTAGCACCCATCAATCTGGATGTTTAAGTTAATGATATGAACCATTTAAAAGCTACATTAAACTAGAAATCTGATAGGAGCAGCCTTCATCAGGAGGGTTTGTAAAATATCTTCACAATTAACTAAAGGAAATGAAGCTTTTCAAATACAATGTCTGACTAACCTGTGAGACTCACTGAGGCTCCATTATATCACCAAGGAAAAAGCTGGAAAATATTCCTGAAATCATTCAGCATTTCTATAGGCAAGAAGAACATCACCCACACTAGGATAAATATGTATAAGGGGTATCAATGCTCAGTTGTTAGGGCATAAGCCAACCCTAACCGGCATTATGAAGGAATTATCCCTATGGGATGAAGGTTGCAAAATTGTCTATGTGGATTTCTCACCTTTCTCTAAAGCATCTGGTACCAGCCACTGTCAGTGATAGGATATTGATTTGGATGGGCTATTGATCCACTGGAAATTCTTATGTTCCTAGGTCCACTCCTTTGGCTAGTAGCCCAAGGTACAGAGACAGTCATAACAATGGGAGATACTTGTGAGGGCTGGAATGGAAAGTCCGACATACATTTCAGAGCCTACAGCAAGGTTTGGTTCAGGTTCTGTTCAAGAGATGAACCAGAGATTGCAGGGAGAAGGAGACTTCTTATGTTTCTAAACCTGTTTGTCTTCCCCAAAGCAGCTTTGCCTAGTGGTTAAAGCACAGGATGCCAAGTTGAGAATAGTTCTGTTTCTATCGCTGACTGGCTGCATGACCCTGGCTGTGTCACTACACATTCATGTGCCTCAGTTTTCCCCCAGGGATAACAACACTGGCCTAACTCCCAGGGATGCTGAGAGTCTTAATTCACAAAGATTCACAGTCAACCTGTGGAACTCCTTGCCAGAGGATATTGTGAAGGCCAAGGCTATAACAGGGTTCAAAAAGGAACTAGATAAATTCATGGAGGATAGGTTCATCAGTGACTATTAGCCAGGATGGGCAAGGACAGTGTCCCTAGCCTCTGTGTCAGAAGGTGGGAATGAGCGATATGGGATAGATCATTTGATGATTATCTGTTCTGTTAGTTTCTTCTGAAACACCTGGCATTGGCCACTGTCGGAAGACAGGATACTGGGCTAGATGGACCTTTGGTCTGACCCAGCATGGCCATTCCCATGTTCTAATATTAGTGTGCATGGAAAATGCTCTAGGCAAGCAAAGTGTTGTGACCCCAACAAATGTCCTTCAAATGACAAACCCCAACATTACCTAGAGATTCCAACCAAGATTGTGGCCCCATTCTACTAGGTGCTGTGAGAGACAGTCCCTACCCCAAAGAGCTTACAATCTAAATAGACAAGACAGCCAAATGGGTTTATCCAAGATCACACTGCAGGCCAGTGGACCAGTTGGGAGCAAATCCCAGGGCTCCTGAGAGCCAGACTGGTGTCCTATCCATTCAACCACAGTTGCCTCTCATAGGAGACGCATACACCAAAGAAGCCACATAATGCTTCTTTCACTTCCTGCTTCCTCCCTAGAGATACATTGGAATGAACAGCAAAGGTTGCCCTTGCCTGATGGCAGCCTGCCCTTGGCTTGGTTTGGCAAGCGCCCCCAACCCCCACAGTTCCTTTTTCAAACAATCGGGAAATGTTGGGCCCGATTCGCTGCATGTTTACACTGGCGTATTCCTCCTGGCCTCAGTGGAGTCCCTCCCGGCTTGCCCCTGTGTGAGTGAGGCCCTGTCTCTCCCTCTTGGTGATTTACGATCCTACCTTAAACCCTTCCTGCTTTGCTGTCATCACCTCTGTCAGCAGCCCCGATGCTTTGCCCCACTCAGCTTCTTTGTCATCAGACAGCATGTGGACCTTGCAAGAAGCCAACAAACAGATGAGATAAAAGATAACCCGGTTTGGATAAAAAGCGCTGATGCCTGTTAGTAGCCGGTGTCCCCCCTGCAACCTGCTGCAGTGTAAACACTCTCTGGCACCAGGCAGGCTCAGGTAGCTGGTAACAGGGTCAGCCTTTCACCTTGAGGTCACCCCTAGGAATCTGGCTCAGGTTAGCAGTGATGGAAGCTGGGCTCAGGTGGCCTGTGTGGAATGGGTTGGGGTGGAGGGGGAGATCTAGTTGCCAGCAGATCAGGCTGTGTGCCACACGAGCTGGCACGACCCGTGGTTGTGGCCAGAGGACTGAATGGGCATCCATCCACAGCTACCTCCGATGCCTTAGGGGTGGTCCATTTGGGGAGCAGCAGCAGCTTCAGTTGCTGTTGTGAATAAATGGACAGCTTCGGTCTCTTGGCTTTACAAAGGACACAGAAGAGCCTCCTCTACATCTGGGCTCACCTGTTCCCATACACATCAACCCGCCACCCTGCCCCCAGGGTCTGTGTCACCCCCTCACTGGGACAGCCAGACCAGCTTGCGGCAATGCAAAGGTGGTCCCTAGCAAGCAGATTGTTTGGAGAGAGGATTAACCTCAAGCAGAGACCACCCCAAGCACCCCCAACCTACGGGAATGCTGCACCCTGAGCAGAACTGGGAGGTACAGATGATCCAGGGCCACGGGGCCCGCTTCTCTTCTTATTTACACCAGGGTGAGCAAGAGCAGATTCAGGTCCATTGGCTAAAATGGAGTGACTCCTGCATTACCCAGGGTGAGCAATACAAGACTCAGACACTGTATGTGTGTGTGGACTCAGGACCTGATGTAGGTATGCAGGCTCCTAACTTCCATTAATTTCAATTAGCTCCTTTTTAGACAGGGTTGCATCTTGCCGCCTTTGTTTGAAGAATGCGGTTGTTTACGGGTGAAGGAGTAAGCCCGGAACAGCACTTGGGGAGTGCGTATTCTTAGCTCGCTGCTGGCTAATGATTTGCACCAAGTCCACCCAGACCAGGCTCCATTTGGTGAGTGCTGACCAGTCTTGTGGATACAGGACACAGAGGAATGGATTCCTCTCTCAGCTGCCTTAGTGTAAATCTGGAGTAACTCCACACTGGGTAGCTGACAGCAGGACCTGGCTGAGGGATGCTGTACAAAACAGCCAGAAGAGCTCATCCCATCCCATCTCCAAAGGAAGCCAGCCACCTCCCTTCATCCTTTCTACAAATGATTGTAGATGATCTGGACCCATCTCCCTTGTCTGTACAGCCCTAGCGGAATGGGAGCCTGGCCCTGGCTTGAGGCTTCCTTTAGAAAAGAGGCAGCCTGGCCTAGTGGAAAGGGTACTGGACTGGGACTCAGGAGGCCTGGGTTCCATTTGTTGCTCTGCTGCTCTTTTGCTGGCTGAGCTTGGGCAATCACTTCAGTGGAAGTCAGGAGCCTAATAGTGTAACACTGTTGCAAGACAAGCAAACATCATTCAGGGATGTATAAGCAAGACACGAGAAGTAATTCTCCCGCTCAACTCTGCGCTGATTAGGCTTCAACTGGAGTATTGTGTCCAGTTCTGGGCGCCACATTTCAGGAAAGATGTGGACAAATTGGAGAAAGTCCAGAGAAGAGCAACACAAATGATTAAAGGTCTAGAAAACATGACCTGTGAGGGAAGATTGAAAAAGTTGGGCTTGTTTAGTCTGTAGAAGAGAAGACTGAGAGGGGACATGGTCACAGTTTTCGAGTACATAAAAAGCTGTTACAAGGAAGAGGGAGAAAATTTGTTCTTGTTAACCTCCGAGGATAGGACAAGAAGCAATGGACTTAAACTGCAGCAAAGGAGGTTTAGGTTGGACATTAGGAAAAACTTCCTGTCAGGGTGGTTAAGCACTGAAATAAATTGCCTAGGGAAGTTGTGGAATCTTCGTCATTGGAGATTTTTAAGAGCAGGTTAGACAAACACGTGTCAGGGATGGTCGAGATAATATTTAGTCCTACCTTGAATGCAGGGGACAGGACTAGATGACCTCTCAAGGTCCCTTCCAGTCCTACGATTCTATACCTTTGTAGATCTGTGCCTAAGTGTTTTGCAGGAAAGCAGGGGGACAAAGGGTAACCTCCTCATGGCAGGGTTTTTGGAGAACGCCTGTCCTTTGGTGCACGCTGGTGCATTCCAAAGGCAAATAACATGGGCCCAATCCTCCAGGCCAGACCCCTACTCACTGGCCACACTAACCTCACAGGGAGTGTTTGCATGAGTAAGGGGAGTAAGTGTCACAGGCACTGTCCCTTTGCTCTTTAGAAGTGTCTTCATCAGCCAGGGATGGTCTCCAGAGGGGGACGAAATGCAGCAGGTGCATGGAAATCCTCTCATCTCCCCTCCCCCCTTTCCCTCAAACACCTTCTGGTGGGGTGAAGCTGAGAAGGGGACCCAGTGATAGTGGGGGGTGGGGGGATAAAAGTCACTGCAGACTCCTATTTCTCAGTTCTAGGAGCTCAGTATGGATCAGAATAACGAAAATGCAGAAGGCTGCACTAGGTGGCCTAAGAAGGTTCCTTCCAGCTACCAGCTTAGCTTGTAGGTTCTACGGGGCAAGGACCATCTCCTTGTTCTCTGCTTGTGCAGCACCTAGCACCAGGGGGTCCTGGCCCAGGGCAGCAGCTACTAGGTGCTACTGCAGTACAAATAACAAACAAAAGTCTTGATCCCAGGAACAAGAGACAGGCAGGATCTAATCAGTCAGCTGGCCCCAGCCTTTTGACTATGGATTGTTATTTTATCATTGGCGGTTCCTAGGAGATAGTGGGGGGGAAAGCCCTGTGCATTCTCATGCTGCCCAAACCTGGGACCTGCGCAGGATCACTCCTCACGGTCTTCTCCAGACCTTTGCCTGGTCTAGTGTCAAATGACTGCGGATTTTTAACCTGGATGTCTGTTATGCGCCATCTGAGACACCCTGTTTCCCCCGGTTGCCAGGAATCCGGGAGCAGCAGAGACAAGGGACTGAATAACTCAAGAGGCCACCTCTCTCATGGGGCCGATAATGCCAGGGGACCTTGTCCCCAGCAGGTGAACGGGCACTTGCTCTGCCAGACCAGCCACTCTCTGTCTGCAGCCATGAAAACCCAGCCTGGACTCTGCTTCTTTCCTCTGTTGAATTCCATGAATCGTCGCCCTCACTAAAATCCTCGGGGAGAATCCCAGGGAAGCAGTGGAAGAGGGGCGGCATTGGGACCCAGCGCTAGGGACAATGAAACCAGGAGGACAGAACAGGTCCATAGCTAGAGAAAAACAGAGGACTGTGCACTTCATCCCAGAGCCAGGTCTGCTCCTATGGGTTCAGTGGCAAAGCTCCCAGTTACTAGGTGTGTTACAGGAGCCTCTAGCAGTTCCAGCCAAGATCTCAGTCCAGCACTAGGTGCTGTCACATAGTGAGACAGTCTCTGCTCCAAAGAGCACCCAGTCTATAGAACCTCGAGAGGGTGGAAGAGGAAACTGAGGCACAGAGCAGTCATGTGACTTGCCCAAGGTCACTTTCAGATCTGGGACTCGAATGCAGATCTCCTGACTCCCAGTAGGCCCCAGTTCACTAGACCACACAGGCTCCTTGTGTTAGAGGTTTTCCTCTCCATTAATGAAATCCAGTTGCCTTTTCTCATGCTGCCAGCTCACGTGCACCTTACCCCCAGCTTAGATGCTGCGGAAATGCTGACGGATCAAGTAGCGACGCACAGTGAAAGGCAGTTTGGTGCCTTTCACGCGGCAGGATCCTGTCCCGCCTCGCAGCCAGCTCCCGCTTGGGCAAGCAAAGACAAGCATGCTCCCCATGGAATGGCTTACCACCCAGGCCTTTCTCCACCTCCAGCCCAATCGGACAGGCATACATGACTCTCCTTGGAATCAGGGCCATCCTCAGGAGCACGGCTCCTGGGAAGAGTGCCGGAGGCAGCACCATGCTGGCCAATGCAGAGGGGTGCCGGAGTAACAGCCCTGCCCACTCCATATCCATTCTGGAGCAGTCCAGAGGGGGTGGCATGCAAGGGGAGGACTATTGGGATTGGCCAAAATCTGTCCCTGTGCTACCACCAGTTAGTAAAAGGTGATCTGCAAAGCACAAAGGGGAAAACGGGTCCGTGCCCGGTTTTGCTTCTTTATAGAGGCCCTAAGGGTTCAAAGAAAGTCCTGATGGTTTGCAGTAGAGAGGCAACTCTGGACTCTTCTCTTCTTGCCGATGGGCTGGAGAATGAATGGGAATGCGCTACTGCAAACAGGATAGAGACTGGACAGTCGAGGGGAGTTTTAGTCCCATTGTTTCAAAAGATGTTTTTGTTTGAACACCTGCCTGGCAAACACCAAGTAAACACTAGGGAGAAAGGCACTCTATGGGAAAGTTTCCACACACACACACCCCTCAGCAGAGGGCTGGGAAAGCTCCCACTCCAGTTGGCCAGTCCTCCAGCAAAAACAGGGCAGACCTGCTCAGTTCCATTATGTCTTGGCAGCCCAGCCTGTGCCACAATCGCCTTGCAACCTCCTGTTTTCCATTGCTGCCTGCAGTCACCCCTAGGCAGCAAGGTCAGCTCAGGGGTTCACAAACCATGAATCAGGCCTCAGACAATCATGAGATTGGCTTAAACATCATGAGATTTTTTTAAAAAAACAATAAAAAAATTGGGGTTTTTTTAAAATTTACTTTCTGGTATTTCAGACTGTAGGGGGTCACGTTCTCAGGCTTCTCTCCACAGTTATAAGGGCTAAAATCTGACTTTTCTTTTAATTGGAAAGGGAGAGTCTCACATGACCCCAGAAGCTGGGGCTTTAAGAAAAACACCAAACAGCACAGGACTCATGATAAAACTGTGAGTTGTGTTGGCTAACATCTTTCTATCCCCTTTGTCTGTTTATTCGCCTGTCACATTTTGTCCCATGTAAATTCTCTGGGGCAGGGATAGTCTTTTTGTTCGGTGTTTGTACCGCACCTAGCAC